AGGCGATAAAAATTGGTCTGGGACCGCTCCGGGCTGAACACCTGGGAGGGGGGGGAACCTGCTGCAATTCTCAAGGTCTGCCCCATTTCAGAACAAAGCAAACACCATCCACTAGGGGTGTCCATTGGGGGGGTGAATCATTTTTTCCCCAGAATCAATGTCGGGAAGGGTCTCATAGAATCTCAGAGTTGGAAGGGGCCCTACAGACCATCTAGTCCAACCCCCTGCCCAATGCAGGACCAGCCTGAAGCATCTCTGACAAATATTCGTCCAGCCTCTTCTTGAGAGCTGCCAGTGAAGGGGAGCGAACCACCTCCCTGGGCAGCTGATTGCCCCGTACTGGTATTCCGGATAAATCATAACTGAATGGGACTTCCAAGTAGATATTCTCAGATGCTGGGAGCAAGCTGCAAAGGAATGCTCCCTCTAAGCTGTGGAGTCTTGTGAGCAAAAATTCTACTTTGTGAGCGACTGGCATTAGAGTGGTGAGCAGGCGATTTGGCTTCTGCATGAATTCGTTTGCTCTGGAGTCCTCCCTTCCTGAGCTGAGACAAAAAAATGTGTGAGCCGGAGGCTAAAGAAGTGTGAGCTCGCTCACACTAACTCAGCTTAGAGGAAACCCTGGCAGGACCCTCACAATGTGCTTCCTCCTGGCACCTGACTGCACTAGAGTCACCAGCAGTCAGACCCAGCATTGTAATCCCCATGCCCTCCGGAATGGAATCGTTTCACAACGTCTTCTATCAGCCAAGTGAGAAGGAGCCCTCTCCACCTTCTGGGAAAAGCAAGAGGGCTGGAGCCATAACCAAAACTGCCCACCGCCAGTTGGAGCCCGGAGATCTCCCAGAATCACATTTGACCCCCAGGCTACAGAGACCGGTTCCCCCAGCGAAAATGACCGAAGGAGTCTCAGAGCGGCTTACAATCTCCTTTCCCTTCCCCTCCCCACAACAGGCACCCTGTGAGGGAGGTGTCTTTCGAGAACTGCCCTTGAGAGAACAGCTCTGAGTGAACTTATGACTGACCCAAGGTCACACCAGCGGCTGCATGTGGAGGAGTGGGGGGAATCAAACCCGGTTCTCCCAAAGTCGCCGTCTGCGCTCCTAACCACTGCACCAAACTGGCTCAAGTTATACTTCTCACTGATTTTTGTTTTGAAAAGAACAACTTGCTCCATCCTAGAAAAGGCACACCATAGGAGATCAGAAGTCTCTCTTCTGCTGGAAAAACTTACCTAATATCCTCATCTGTGACGATGAAAGCTTTGCAGAGAGGCTGGGACGTATTGAGCCACACAGCGGGGTTCTTTTCGACGGCCGCAGAAAGCTGCCCTGTGATGGGCGCAGAACTGGTGTGCAGCGCACTGGCGACAGCTGACAAAAGGGTATCCTCATTGTTCCCTGGGCCGACTCCTAAAACAGGAACACAACTTGCCTGTTAGAATACAATAAGCTTTGGCATTAGATGAGGAAGGGCAACTGATCTGATTTCAGAGTCCAAAGACCAGGACCCTCCATCCCTAGCTGTATTGACAGCCCTGAAGATAAACAGAGAGGAAGCCAAGAGGCACTATTCAACGTGTGCCTGAAACCCTCGTAGATGGCTCCAGCAAGTGAGCCAAGCTATATGGTAGAGCAGAAGGTGGAGACTCCAAGTTGGACTCTGACTGTGTGTTTCCAGTTCAGCCAAAGGGTCACACAGGGCACAGATTTGTGCATCAAGACCATGGAATTAGGTCCTGTGAGGCTCTCTCATCAGCCAACAGTAGTCGAGAACAATCATTTCCCACTAAGGAAGGTTTTGCTAATTATTTGGCTGTGAGGACTCTCAGGATTAGGGATGGGTACGAACCAAATTAAGAACCGAAATTCATCATGAACTGCACCTGGTTTGTGGTTCGCAAACCTTGGTTCGTGGCATCCTACCCCCACGGACCTCCCGCAAACCTCCCAGGTGACTTTGGGAGGTTCATGTGCTTAGTGTCTGCAGACATGCTGGCGCCGGTGGTGGGGCTCGGAGAAGGCATTTAAAAAGACTGCGGTCTCTTTAAAATGCCTTCTCCAAGAAGTGGCACTGGTGCGGCATGACTCGCAAGTGAACTCAGAAGGCATTTAAATTTCACTCACCAAGTTGTGTTGTGGGGTATCACGAACCATAACCTCAAACCGGTTCATTAAATGGAAAGGTTTGTGGAAGTTCATGGTTCGTAAAACCCCACAAACCTTCATGAGCCTCCACTTTTCCAGTTTGTGCCCATCCCTATTCAGGATGGCATAGGTGCCCCCCCCCTTTATCCTGCAATATTCATGTGAGGTAGGTTATGTTGAGGGATGATTCACGTGTTACAAAGCCCATAGAGCAAATGTGGACTTTGAGTAAAAGGACTTGGGGTTAAAGGTATGTCTGGCATTCCATGTTGGGAACTCAATTTACAGTTCTGCACAGGCCCCATTTGGGATGCAAGAAGGGGTTTTGGCTACCCCATCCATGCCACTTTCTCAACCGGAAACTGCCACAGAGGGCCAGTGTTTGCCACACTGGGGAAACCTACATAAAGTTACCTTATACTGAATCAGGGCCTCGGGTCCATCAAGTCAGCATTGTCTATTCAGACCAGCAGTGGCTCTCTCCAGAGTTTCAGGTCAAGGTCTTTCACATCACGTTTTACCTGACCCTTTGAATGGGATATTCCAGGCATCGAACCTGGCTGGGACCTTCTGCGTGCCAAGCAGAAGCTCTACCAGCTGAGCCATGGTCTCACTCCATGCAGAGTTCCTGGAGCAGTTTGAGGTTGGGAAAATGGTGTGGGAGGAGGAGGCCAAAGACTCCTTCTTTGGGCCCGTGTACGCTTGAGATTTAAGTTTCCAGCCAGGAACTCCCAGAACATATCTGTCCAAATGGGGGAACATGAACTTCATAACATGTGAATCTGTCCTAACACCATGACAAGCCCAAGGGAATTTAGTGGCCGAGCACAGATTTAAACTGGGGTCTCTTGGTCTTAGTCTAACCCTCCGGCCACTATACCATACTGGATTATTCTCTCTCTCACACTCACACACACACACTTGTTATCCTCTTAAAGGCGACTGGTGGGCCACTATCAATAGATAGAATAAGAACATAAGAGCCCTGCTGGATCTGACCAATAGTCCCTGTGGTCCAGCATCCCATCTCACACAGTGGCCAACCAGTTCCTCTGGACAGCCAACAACAGGGCAGAGAGGCTGAGGCCTTCATAAGAACATAAGAAGAGCCCTGCTGGATCAGACCAGTGGTCCATCTAATCTAGCATCCGGTCTCACACAGTGGCCAACCAGTTCCTCTGGACGGCCAACAACAGGGCAGAGAGGCTGAGGCCTTCATAAGAACATAAGAAGAGCCCTGCTGGATCAGGCCAATGGTCCATCTAGTCCAGCATCCAGTCTCACACAGTGGCCAACCAGTTCCTCTGGACAGCCAACAACAGGGCAGAGAGACTGAGGCCTTCATAAGAACATAAGAAGAGCCCTGCTGCATCAGACCAATGGTCCATCTAGTCCAGCATCTGGTCTCACACATTGGCCAACCAGTTCCTCTGGACGGCCAACGGCAGGGCATGGAGGCCGAGGCCTTTCCCTGATGTTGCCTCCTGGGTCTGCGATTCAGAGGCTTAGTGCCTCTGAATGTGGAGGTTCCCCTCAGTCACCATAGCTAGTAATCACTAACAGACTTAGTCCTCCAAGAATGCTGAACGAGACTGACCATTTTACCTTTCCTAGTATGGCCGTTCTTATGGCATGTGAGAACTGCAGTGATGACTCGTAGATGGGAACAGGGCTGGTTCAAGGAATCTTGTGACCCCACACAAGGCATACCTGTTGCTTCCTCTCATACTGCTGCTGGTCAGCAGGTCTGGGTCCAGGCACTGCCTTATGGACTCAGGCTGGACCTAGCCAACAGCAGTCTAGCTGGAGATGTCCATCATCTCCTGATCACCAATGGTTTGGAGTGAGCCAAGCTGTTAAGATAACCATTCACACATCCAGCTGCAAGCAGTCAAACAACAGGGACACAAGCAACACAGTCAGGTGCAGACAGGTCCATGTTTCTACAGACCCTGGTTCGAAAGCCGCCAGTTTGTCAGAGGGCATCAAACATAACTGAGGCAAAGAGTACCTTGAAGGCCTTTCGGCAGCTCCATGGATTTTATGATCTGCTCGCTCACATCGGATGCGCTTAAGCCTTGTAGCCGCTTCTCCCAGAAGAGCTGAAAGATCGAAAGGCGCTAATTAATATCGAAATGGCAAAGTGCTGCAGGAAAGACTGAATGTTCGTTTTCAGCATTAAGCGAGCATCTGCAACATCACTGGGTCACTGGGTCACATACAGAAGCTTTTGAGTATTAGATGATCGGCACAGGATCAGCATTTATGCTTTGAAGTACCATGGGGGCGGGGGAATGAGTTGATCTTACTCAATACAGATTCTTACTGGAGGCTTTGTTGCTAAAGGCTTAATGACAGGTTTTATAATTGTCCTCCATGGTAGAGTTGCCAGCTCCAGGTTTCAGAGCAGCCATTTTCTCCAGGGGAACTGATCTCTTACAAAGGATTTTCAAAGGGAGATTAGAAAGAGGGAATGCTAAATTGCAACCAATAAAGAAGCTTCTCACATTGTATCCCCCTGGACTGAACAGAGATCTAGGTTTCCTGTTTCATTACCAATGCTGATTAATCCATGCCTACTACCCCTCTGCACATCACACCTAATCCAATCGTGCCGGCTACTGTCATGCTGGACCTGAAATCACTCCACTCTCCAAGATATGAGGACAGATGGACTCACATTCTAGCTGTATCTGAAGAAGTGAGCAGTGTCTCAGGAAAGCTCATCCCCTGCCACAGGTTTTGTTAGTCTTTAAGGTGCTACTGGACTCTTGCTATTTTCTAAACCTGACGCAGGATCTTCTATAGCACCAACTCTCATCACCAGCCCTGGCATATTACTAAGAACATCAGAGGAGCCCTGCTAGATCAGACCAGTCACCTGGTCCATCTAATCCAGGAACTTGCCTCACACAGTGGCCATCCATTTCCTCTGGACGGCCAACAACAGGGCATAGAGCCCAAGGCCTGCACAAGAACATAAGAAGAGCCCTGTTGGATCAGACCAGTGGTCCATCTAGTCCAGCATCCAGTCTCACACAGTGGCCAACCAGCTCCTCTGGACGGCCAACAACAGGGCATAGAGGCCGAGGCCTTCCCTTGGTTTTGCCTCCTGATCTGCGATTCAGAGGCTTTGTGCCTGTTTAAAAGGCTTCTCTGCTGGGCTGGCAGATTTCCATGCTTGACAAAGAGGCTGAACTTCAGCAAGGTCTGTTGTGGTCCCCATTTGTCCATCCCAGCCGTGACTTTGACCCGGGAGAGGGGCCCTTCTCATCCACCACCTCCCAATCCACAGCTCTATTTATTTCTATTTACTCCATTTCTACCCCAGCCTTCTCCCCAATGGGGACCCAAAGCGGCTGACATCCGCTCTCCTCCATTTTACCCTCAACAATCCTCAAGTAGCCTGGATAGCCCAGGGAAGCGTGATCTCATCAGATCTCGGAAGCTAAGCAGGGTCGACCCTGGCAAGTATTTGGTTGGGAGACCCCCAAGGAATACCCGGGCTGGGAGGCAGGGGCAGGCTATGAAGCCACTTCTCTGAATGTCCTCGTTGCCCAGTAGGAGTTGCCAGAGGTCGCTATGACTTCCAGGCACAGGCACACACACCCATGCACGCACACACAAAATTCAAAAATACCCCCCCTCGTCAGGTAGGCTAGGCTGAGAGAGCATGACTGGCTCAAGGTCACACAGTGAACTTCCATGGCATGAGTGGGGATTCGAACTCGTGTCTCCCAGATACTGGTCTGACACTCTTTGCCACACCGGCTGAATCAGAGCTGGAAGAGATAACTCCTCACCATCACCACCACCACCCAGCAAGAAGTGGTTAAGTGCGCGGACTCTAATCTGGGAGAACCGGGTTTGACTCCCCACTCCTCCACTTGCAGCTACTGGATGACCTTGGGCAAGCCGTAGTTCTGGCAGAGCTGCTCTTGAAAGAGCAATTCTCGAGAGAGCTCTCTCAGCCTCACCTACCTCACAGGGTGTCTATTGTGGGGAGGGGGAGGGAAAGGAGTTTGTAAGCCGCTCTGAGACTCCTTTAGGTAGTGAAGGACGGGGTATAAATCCAATCTCTCCTTTTCTTCTCTTCTTCTAACAGGGCAAGGAAGAATTTCATATCAACATCACCCTTTGCCAGAGAGACAGATTTAAAATAAGAGGCTGTTTAAATTGCCACGGAAACAAGGCCAAATTTAAATACCTGATCGGAATCATTTTTTTATATGTATTACTTATATACTGAACTTAAAAACTGCATACTGATTTCTCGCTGTAATGATAAAACACACAGATTTAAAACTGTGTACAGTCTTTATACTGTCTGAAAAGGCAAAGAGAAGCACTTCACTCCAGGAGGAATTACATCATGGAATTTGCGATCAGCGGACAAAGCAATGGCCACGCACATAGACAGTTTTGAAAGGAGATTAGAAATATTCCTGGATGAAGTCCATCAATGGTTACTAGACCGTGGGTGACTCCCTATACAGGGGCAAAGTAAGTATCTGAATACCAGTGCTGGGAAGCAACATCAGGGGAAGGCCTTGGCCTCTGTGCCATTTTGTTGGTCCTCCAGGGAAACTGGTTGGCCACTATGTAAAACCAGACACCGGACTATAGGAGTGACAGGTAGGATCCAGTGGGGGCCTTCTTATCTTCCACCTAGAAAATGTTCCTAAAATAATTTGCTTTGTGTTTTAGAAAATTATATGACATAATGCTTATTTTTAGATAATTATCATCATAACCTCACATGTGTATGTGTGCGCTAACTGCAATCAAATAGATTCCAATTTATGGTGACCCGACGGAGGAGGAGGAGGATATTGGATTTATACCCTGCCCTTCACTACCCAAGGGAGTCTCAGAGCGGCTTACAAACTCCTTTCCCTTCCCCTCCCCACAACAGACACCCTGTGAGGTAGGTGGGGCTGAGAGAACGCTTGACAGAAACTGCTCTTTTTCAAGAACTGTGCCAGGACTATGGCTTGCCCAGGGTCATCCAGCAGCTGCAAGTGGATGAGTGGGGAATCAAACCCGGTTCTTCCAGATTAGAGTCCGCGCACTTAACCACTACACCAAACTGGCTGTCTCCCAAAAGAAGAGAAGAGGAGATTGGATTTATACCCTGCCCTTCACTACCCAAAGGAGTCTCAGAGCGGCTGACAAACTCCTTTCCTTTCCCCTCCCCACAACAGACACCCCGTGAGGAAGGTGGGGTTGAGAGAGCTCTGACAGAAACTGCTCTTTTTCAAGAAGAAGAAGAAGAGAAGAGATTGGATTTATACCCCACCCTTCACTACCCAAGGGAGTCTCGGAGCAGCTTACAAACTCATTTCCCTTCCCCTCCCCACAACCGACACCCTGTGAGGCGGGTGGGGCTGAGAGAGCTCTGACAGAAACTGCTCTTTTTCAAGAACAGCTCTGACAGAACTATGGCTTGCCCAGGGTCATCCAGCAGCTGCAAGTGGAGGAGTGGGGAATCAAACCCGGTTCTCCCAGATTAGAGTCCGTGCACTTAACCACTACACCAAACTGAATTAATGACCTCCAAAGCATCCTATCTAACAGGCTTGCTGAGGTCTTGCTAACTGAGGGCCTTTGTGGCTTCCTTGATTGAGTCAATCTATCGCCTGCTGGCCCTTCCTCTCCTCTTGCTGCCTTCCACTTTTCCAAGCATTATTGTCTTTTCCACTGACTTCTCATTAGGTGACCCAAGTACGAAAATCTCAGTTTGGTCATTTCAGTTTCTAGGGAGAGCTCAGGCTTGATTTGATCTAGAGCCCACTTATTGGTCTTTTTGGCGGTCCACAGTATCCATAAAACTCTCCTCTAACACCACATTTGAGTTACTCAATTTTCTTCCTGTCCGCTTTCTTCATTGTCCAACTTTCAAACTCATACATAGTAATAGTGAATACTGTGGCATGAATTAACTTGATCTTGGTTGCCAGGAGTACATCCTTACACTTAAGAATATTTTCTTACTCCTTCAATGGCTGCCCTTCCCAGTCTCAATCTCCTTCTGATTTCTTGCTCACAGTCTCCCTTTTGGTTATTACTGGTAGAATCATTGTTTTTACTGAGAGGGAAGGTCTATGATGTCTCAACAGTAGGTCAAATTAGAAGCATTTATGATGAGAATATTGAGTCAGCTGCAGAGATCAGGTCGTTCCTGGGCATAAAGGGGTAGTAAAACTTCACCCAGATGGATCAGCAGATAACACCTGCAGAGAGCAACTCGCTTTTGATCCCGAAACCGAGCCACAAGATGAAGGCCTGAACTATCGGCGTGAACTCTTGTGCCAAAGGACAACCTGTTTCCCACAGAATATGTCCTTTGCAAAGAAGAGCTCAGTTGTAAGAAAGGATATGTCTGTATTACGTTTAAGTTTTGTTTTAAACCAAGTGACTTTTTTAAAAAAAAGAAGAAGAAAAAGAAGAAGAAGAGAAGAGATTGAATTTATACCCCGCCCTTCACTACCCAAAGGTGTCTCAGAGTGGCTTACAAACTCCTTTCCCTTCCTCTCCCCACAACAGACACCCTGTGACGTAGGTGGGGCTGAGAGAGGTCTGACAGAAATGTATTGTAGGAGAAATTGAATCCCTTTTTTTTTTAATCCACCCTTTGGTATAAACACAGGGCAAAACCAGTGTGGGAGTTGCCATCACCCAGGTACATCAATTAAGCGCAACATTTCAAAAGGACATGTACAAAGACAACCTGACTTTGGACTCTGACCTGCTACCGAGGCTACCGAGTTTGTGACATTCCTATTTTGATGGTTTAAAAATTAAGGTTTCTGACATGAGCTCTCTCCCCGCTCAAGACAGAACTGCAGTTGTCTCCCCACCAGCATCTGGCCATGCCAATGAAATCCAATAAAAATACAACCATAGAAATGAATATCTGTTTGTTTTGTAGTAACTGAATGCAGTGGTTACTGAGGGGAACCTCCATATTCAGAGGCACAAACCCTCTGAATCCCAAAGCCAGGAGGCAACATCTGGGGAAGGCTTTGACCTCTATGCCCTGTTGTTGGCCCTCCAGAGGTGGTTGTGTGAGACATGGCTATGTGAGACAGGATGCTGGACT